CGTACTTTATACATAAGCTCATAAGCAACCATAAAGAAAGCCCCCAGCTCCGTCTTCTCTTTTGCGGAGCTATTAACGTGCGATTAAGCCATAAATCTGCGTAATATTGTCGAAACCGAATGAAAACCTTCTGTTCAAGAACAACGCTGTAAGCATTCATTTCCACATGACAACAACACGAAGCAGATAGAAATACTCATGCTGTCAAGCACTTGGGCAATCATCCCAAGGGGACCTTGAGAGGGAAGGTTTTGTTTGATAACAAAACGGTCCTCATGAGACTTTTTGCCCTATTCAAAAATCGACCTTCAGTGGTAATAGGTTCCATTGGCCATACGGAGAATGTTATTTATCAGCTTTCAACATGTTATTCCATTCCCAGACATTCGAGGTCACTATTAGCCCAACGAAGATTCGACGTTAGATATTCCCTTTAAAAAGCGACATTTTGGAATCCTTTCAGTTCCCGAAAATATTGGGAGAGATCGCTTTAAACATTTCCGAACAGGTAGATTCCAGAGCAATTACGGCAATCATGCTTATTTCTAAACTACCATTTTCCTTTCCGCAAAACTTGGACTGGATTTCCTTAGGGCTATCTCTAACCATTTGCTGATTGATTGCGTGTTTAAGTGTCGTAAATAATACAATAGAGGAAAACATTGTAAGGCACACTTCAATCTCATTTGTTTATGTCTCTGATTTGATTCAATAGAGTGGCTGGTGGGTCTAAAAGTCAGCTGGGCAGAGATCGCCAGGGGAGGTAAAAGTAAGTTTGAAGTCTGGGAATGGCAAGTTCTTGTTCCTCGACTGAAGTTTCACAAAAAGCCTCTTTTTTAAGTTCAATTTTTGTTTCCAAGTTGTGCCAATTTCCGTTAAAATACTCATACCTTCTGTGAGGCACCGTTTAGAAGTCCACGATCCCATAGCGAACGTAATGCTGTCGGATCTTCTTGGATGTCCTCGTTAACATTTTCCGGAAGTCGAAGCTGTAAACATTTCGGAAATTCTTCGAGATCAACATTTCCTTTTTCTTTTTTAGTCTCTAATAGCATATTGCACATTTCGTCCTCTACGGATATTACATGAACTCATCAACACTATGGCAAATTGCCTTAGGCGCCATACTGGCATCATCCGAAAGCGCCCTGATGATGCGACATTTCAAGGAAACCACATGAGAGAAATGCTGCACAGCGAAAAGAAAAATCATGGTGAATGTCAAAGCTATTCCTTTAGCAAATGGCTATATCCTCGTCCATCAAATCGCAATTACCTAGAAGGACTTTATACAGGACTCGTTTACCTTTTTCCAAGATTGAGTTTTGGAAATGCCGTACGTGAACTCCCTTTCAATTTAATAGCTCAACTAGTTGCATAACTTTTATAACAAACCCTTTTTCCTTCATACGTAAATGCTGCTTTCAATTGAGGCATTCCTATGAATACTTCAATGTGGATGGTTTCCGGCTAGAGGGCCCGTATTGCAACTTTGAAGAACCATTAGGCTGAACGCCTCATCAAGTGCACTCAAGGAAGTGCACAGGGGCCCTTGCACATGCTCCCATAGGCTTAGCAACAACTCGAGTGCTCTCTCGACTTACTCTCAAGGCTCGTTTACACTTTACTGCGTACTAAAAAAGTGTGAACGAGTCTTAAAAGAAATTCGAAAGTTCTTATATTGCACGTTAAACCTACGTTTTACAGCACTACAATGTGCTGAAAGAGAATATGTTTACCAGTGTTTTCACTATGGCTAAGCCAGTTTGTCGTTAGGTACCTTGAGACTCTCCTCTCTTTCCATCCATCTGCACAAGCTACCTTTTGGGTCAGACCCTATCTATGGATCACAGACAAGGTTTAACCCCAAAATGTACATACAGAATTGGGGCAACTCCTCAGTCGAGTTTACAGAAAATAAAACAATTTACTTAGATAATTAAATTGAACGTTGCACGCTTTGAGCTGCTTCCCTTCCCGCTGTTCTGGCAGGCCTTTGTTCCGGAGACACAGAAAATCCTCAAAGACTGTTAAAAAATGGACAAGACTTGCATTCAGACCCCTGTTCTTATGCAGTAAAGAGCTGCTCAGCAATTACACTAAAAAGGTCAGTTCGGGCTGTCCTAGTAGGCATACTCTGCATGGAATCGCCCACAACCACACAACCTAATCCTCCTTAGCCTATAGATCCGCTCTTACTGGGGCTTTCGCACCTTTGATCGTCCACTCCAGACGAATCTGCTCATTTCGCCCTCCCTCACCACCCACGGTCTCAAGTACCGCATTAAAAGTACTAATCTCTTACTCTGGCTCAATTGCTTCCATAGAGCTCATGATCATTGTGCTTCAAAGTATCGATGTACTTCTTTGAACGTTGAACTAAGACCTCGTAGTAAACATAAACAAACTTGGCTACATACCAATCTTACGTTTGAATTTAGCCATAACATTCATCATTATTCGAGTAGCTTATATATAGTTAATGTGGCTTCCCATGAAAGCCCCTGGCGACCACTCATGACTCTCATGACTCATAATCAAGCTGAGGAAGCAGGTTACTAACCAGTAAGTTATATGACACTTCGTTTTCCCTCTTGAGTCAGCATCACATTATTCGCTGCCCTCATTAATCAAGTTAACCTTATAAAACATTTAATGAAATTCCTGTCATGGTAACGACTGGGAAGCACGGGAAAGTAGCAAATTCCTTCGATGTAAGCCTATCCATCGCCACTTCCCGGAACTTCCAAAATGTACTGCAGCCATTACAAACAACAAAGCACCCCTAATGAGTTTTGTAGGTACAAACACTCCATTTCCTGTTTGCATTGCTTGCTTTTTGGAACGATTAAACGGTGATCAGGCCTGAACAAGCAAATGCTTCGGCTAATGCCAAACATCCTTATGTCAATAAAGGCACTGAATTAGACTTTGACTTCTACTCACTTGACTACAAAAAAAAAACATTTCTGAGCCCTGAAACCGGAAGCACGGCGTAGTCCAAAGCGGATAACGTTAGGGGTCTTACCTTTTACTGAGTTAGATCTATGAACATCACGCGAGTTACAGTAGCCTTCCGCTTTTTTTTCTCTGAAGGATTACCCAATTGAGAGGAAGAAAAGTGCAAAGCAGAGGGTGTTTTTGTACTTGTTCTTTTCAATCACCGTCATGCATAGCAAAAAGTCAGCCATCTTCTTCTTTTTCTTCGAAATACTCGAGTACTTCATAGTCCCTTTCAAACGGAAGTGACGAACAAAACAAAAACGAACTCCGTTTGGATTGAATTTCCTCCGTACTGCAAAGGATCCCCTACTAACTTAACAACCAACTGAAGACTCACAGGAGGTAGTAACGCTTCCAACCGCTTTGGATCAAAGCCTGAATGAGGCTTTTGGAACACCTCCAGATTCGTGTTGCTTTGGAGAAATAAAAGATTTGTGAGAGCTTAACTTGGCTGTCCCCAAAAAAACCTCCAATTCAGACTAATGGAAGGAAATGAAGAAAACAAGCTAAATGGCTGCCAAACACCATTTCGTGCTGCTTGCACACAAGTTCAACCAAGGCCAATAACAATCTGAACATTCGAAGAGCACCACTTAGACAGCAATACTACTGCTCGTGTGTCATAGACAGTGATCAATTCACATCAACCTTTTTCTAAATCTCAAGACATTTTAAAAGCTGCCAATTATCGTTTTTATTCACTCAATCAATTCACCAATCCAGTTGAAATATGTCGATTCGATGGCAATATGGAGTCGGGCTCCCCCCCCCCCCCCCCCCCCCCCCTTCCCCCGCCAGAGACCTAGGTTAACTATTTCACTGGAAGGACATTTTCATCGTTATAATCATTTTTCTCCACTAGCTAATGAATTTTGAAGTAGCCTACAATTGAAATTGTAATTTCTGCTGGAATCATTCATTTTCTCACTGAAAATTCAATTGATGTCACAAAAACTTCTCAAACATTTAAATTTACAATTCTGTGAAAACTCGCGCTCGTAGAACCCATCCCATGCATCCCATCAGACATCTTCCTCCTGCAACAGAGGAAAAACCATTTTTCCCCAGACAGTTCATATTGCCAGCCACCACAAAAATGCCCCTATCATTATTCCACGGCTTACCCTGCCAGGAAAAAGTATCGTCTTCCGAGCCTTGGAATCCGTCGAATATACTGTCACGCCATCCATGTCAGCTACTCCATAATTCATGTAGATTTGTTGACAATCCGATTTGTCAAGGCACTTTCGTGAAACAATGTCTTTTTAACGGATGGGAATCTTCTTAGAGCAGTACATACTTCAATATGCGCCACTTAAGATGGTGATTGAAGTGCTCTCAAAGGGCAGACAGCCGATTCATTTCCAAGAACGAGCAACTTAGCGAAAAAAGTCATGGAATTCCAGCTAACTCTCGTCAATTCACTTTCCATTGATGTCGTCGATTCGATTTCATAGCCGATGTCTCAGAGACATCGTGCAGCGTCTAAACTTGATTTACTTTTCGTTTACCTTAAACGACGACATCCTTTTTATGGAATGCCCGTAGGCTCGCTTCCCTGGCTTCATTGTGCAGTGCAGTTCCAACTCGAACGTTTAGGCAATGCATAACAAACTTCACTACATTTGGTGCTCTCTGTGGGCTCTCCGGAATCTTCTTTCTCATTACCCCAAAAGGGGCTTAAGCCTGAAGCAGTTTACCCCGGTAGAACAGCCTGATGAACTTGTTGCAATTCTAGCCAGCCCATGATTATTCGCATAGAAAGTTGTGTAAACTTTGCAAGTCATGTCAATTCTGGTCCTTTGTTTGTAACGCCTTGTTTGTTACTTCAGAAGGCTCAGTTATTTGTTTTCAGAAAGCCATGTTACGAATCCAAGGCTTCGGAAAACCAGTAAAGCACCCCTAAAGCTATTAACAGTTGTAAACACAGCCACTTTGATTCTATACACGGCCGACGACAGCTGAGCGACTAGCATAGGCCTGCCACATGCCAAAAAAAGTAGTTACTATAGATCCCCTGTTAGACCACCTGGCTCCATATGCGACATACAAATCCTTATGACAGCATACGCACCACTTATTCCTTAATATTCTCCTTCCGAATTTTCCACCTCAACGCATCGACTAGGTGTGTTAGGATCAACAACGCCCGCGCTCCTGTCTGAGCAGGTAATTAAAAACACAGGTTTCAAAAATGGTTTGACAGATTTAGTGTTAGGANGAATGGCCCTCGATGAGTCGGAGTATGACCTTGGCTAGGCGAGAACGTGTCCGTGATTGGTGCAGTAATGGCTCCAAATTGGGCAGTCCTAAAAAAACCCTCACTGAAGGGCGAGGTTCTCCGCTCGTCTGTGCTCTCTTGCCAGTACAGCTTTCGGCGATGTTACAATGAGTTCTGAGGCTTCCTTCAGAGCATTTGGTTGTGATTCATGTTTGTTTTGTTTGTTCCCTCGAGAAAAGTGTTTGTAGCTGATAGATGTTTTCATGTTTGTAAACCAATTTATTTCAAATCAAATTGGAATGTGCCTCGTCGAGGCCAATCAAATGCCACCGAACAGTGTGTCGATGAGGGATTGTGGACGGCGGAAATAGGCGTTTGCCTCGCAACACGTCGAAAAGGGTCTGGTGTTAGGAAGTCATGGCCGGATTTGTTGTGTTTCCATTTCCCTTTGGTTGATTTGTCGGTTCGGACAAAGTGCCCACCCTTGAACTTAACGGTACCTTGTCCCTGGCGTGAGAAACGCTCGTCTTACACACGTGGGAGTTATTACTCTTCAAAGAGGAACGTCGCCAAGCGTAGCTCTAGTGACTAGTAGTTTCGAGAGGATTCTAATTGCTTCTAGCTATTATCGTTCGTTCCTGGCCGCTCTATGTCGCTTTGCCCATCCCCTCTGAGCCTCTTCCGATGAAAGAGAGCTTGAAACATTTTCGGAACTGAGACGACCGTTTTATCTGGCACCCTGTCAATATGATTGAAATCACGAAGATTGGTAAATCTTGACATCGTCAAAACTTATTCCATAAAGGCAAGATGTGCGTGTTGGCAAACAAACTAAAAAGTCAAATCAAATCTCCCCCGAGGCCGTGCGCAAACACGACCTGTACATCCGATTATTTGGTCGAATAAAACCTCGGCTGGCACCCACTGGATCCGGCCTACTGCTGAATCGTGAACGGCTTGCCCATAGCTTTCAATTCCCACCATGTCGCTCTTGAACCCAATGGCAGGTATGGACAAGGAGCTGTCGGTGCTTCAAGATGATTACGGACGTCGGTAAACGAGAATAACTTCCGCGTGTATACGTCCCATCCCATTAAATCGAAGAGGATGTTGAGAAGTATCGCCGTGTTCAAATCACCATACGTACGTACGACGTACACTACTACTTGTGTGTTTACCAGCGGCGCATCCAATTATGCTCCGCCCCTGCTCACTGCCATCGACGACGACGACAACTACACCAGACCTCAATGCATCGAAGTTGCCTAAACATCTCTTTTCGCTTCTCTTCAATTAGCTTTGCCAACTGTCAAATGGCTGAGGCACACCTGCCGTCCTCGTCAATAAACTGCATGACTGAATAGTGACTGATGGTCGTTATTGAGCGTTTTTGCTGCCTGTTGCGAAAATTCAACGGCAAAAGGAATCTTTGCAAAAAGTCAGACCTTTGAAGCTGTTGAAGCCTTTATTTGACATTTTGTGTATTAATTAACTTCAAAGTCCTTTACTAGTAAAGAATTTTGCCAGTAGAGAGCTTCGAAGTGACCAATCCAAATGCAATTTGTTTGTGTGTTTACAATTTAACAGTGTGAGTTTTTGGAGAAGCTGATCCCTTTTTAAAGGGAATGCCACAACTGGCCTTCAATTAGAGCCTAGAAGGCATATGAATGCATAGAACGCCAAAACGGCGATTTGAGCAGCCTTCCAAAGTGATGAGCTGTTTTTGGAACGCTCCGATCAAAGAATTGCATATGTCTTAATGGCGTCCCCAGCCGTAGCTGTGGAAACTACGTCCAAAGCTCATGTTCGTTATGAGGGAACATCCCTAATCCTTTCAAGGAAATCCATTATTATCGCAGGTCTCCCATTGTTCGAAAAAAAAAAACTGGTTAGCAATCCTTCAGCCATCCTTAATCGAGATGTTCTGCCCTTAAAGGTTACTTCATCTTGCTCTCAGGATCTGGCCACATCCTGTGAAGTAGGTGCAGCGATTAGCGATAGCGATGGACGATGAGGAAGTTGCATTAACCAGTAGGCTAGCAATTTGTCGATTCAGACCAGCACTTCCAAGCTGCCGTCCGTCCTTCGTTCACCTCAAAGTCTCCTCCCACTTTCGCGACAATCAGCCCATTCCTTACTTCTTCACATTCCACGACTTGTTATGACCCTGTCCGTGATTTTTGGAAACAACTTTCGCCATCCATCTTTCACCCTCAGCCAGTGGTGCAACTTTCAACACCTTGTTGCTGCAACTAATTCTCTCTATGCTGCCATTGAGGCCCCTCCGTGTAGTCATCCGTAATCCCGTAAAACCGCTCTTCACGAATGAATCACTTTGTGTATCGCTTTTCCTAAGCTACCACCGTAGTCAACGACAACCATTACTATCGTTCTATATACTCCTGCTAGGTGCTTTTCATGCATAGAAAAGCTATTTTCATCGCAGATATAATGCAATAACGGGCATCCAATGATGAGAGACAGATATGAGGGATGTGGCAAGGAAGGAGATCAGTACGATTGCTGGACTGGGTTGCTCAGCTGCACACTGAGCACTTCCTCATTTAGTACCGAGATTGGCAACCCTTGGCCGCTATTTTCTAGTTCACTGTGTCCCGATCGCCGACATCCGGGTTCCCCCAAAGCGGGAAACGTGTCGAAATTGCTTACTGCTAAGCACCAGGTTATGCACAGCGCTGAATGAACCAAGTTTGTTTTTTAAAAGCTTTCACCGCTGTCAAACAACTTCATCATTCATTAGCTTGCTGCTTACTTTGGACCCCCTAACATAGGCACACATCCGCATGAACCCGCTGCTGATCAAAAATGCCTTCGATGTCCAGTTACAATTACTTGAACGGTGATGCCTACTGCTACTCACAAATTACTTTTTATGTGATCTCTGATTTTCGCCTATTTATAGTTCCTGGGAGTGCCTGAAGAACTCTGAGGTACTTCCATAAAACACAAGAAACTATGAGTTATTCATTCCGAAAAAGCCTCTATATTGAACTACTTTACCAACATTACCGTACTCTACAGCTACCCCTGTTCAACTCAACTTCGTGAAACCCACCGTATTCCAATCAATAAATTCCTGGAGTATCTGTTTGATAATCTGGACACTTTTTGGGATGTGAAACCCATCTCAAATTCGATCCTTCTCAAGCAAATCCTCAGATTAAGATTGCTGCCTATCAACGTAAGTAGTCTTCTGATTCACAACCACACCTTTTCATGCCGTCAGCACAACTCCTATGACTTCGCTTTCCTACATTACTCTATCAAATCGTACCATCACCTACTCCTTACACAGTTCCGCAAACCCTACAATTTTCTAGAAACGTACTCAAAACCAAGCAGCAATTCGTTTCCTATTTTCAATACCCACTTATACCTCCCTACCCATCCAACTTCCAGCTGGGGTATAGTAATCAAAAGGGAAGAAGCGAAGACAGCAAAAGGGCAAGGAAGTCTTTTCCGGCGATGTTTGAGATGCTCTGTCACAACATTTTGTGAGTATACAATTATGTTCAGTACTTAAAAGACCTAAACAAACTTAAAACAACGCCACTATTCCTAGAACTTCAGGGAATACCTTAGAATTACCAGTGAGTAGTGAAGAGTTGTAAGCAAGGCTAGGTTTCGCTGTAGAGATAATCCTCACATCCCTTCACAATAAAGCGGCTCTCCATCCCACAAGAAAAAACTGGACATGTTATCCCATAAGTGGGTAAAAACCATGCGGGACATTCCGTCTCGAGGAAATGAGTTCCTAGAACAAACCTCTCGCCAGTTTATCCAAGAAATCACCTCACTGCCACTTAACGGATTCCTTTTACTCAATAAATCCTAATTGCCCTTCGAACCGATTACGTGCGAGACGCAACACATTAAATTGTAGTGGAACTCCCACTGATTATACCTTCCGTTGTCTATAATTGATTCCTCGTACGGCAGTTCACGTAATTCCATCGGTCTCAATATTTGAACTCTATTTTTCAGTCATTTTTAGCTGATACATTACGCTTACGATTTGGGGAATTCACTTATTTGCTAATTACTTAGTATTTCTCTAACGATTACCCTCGACGCAGTAATACTACATTACAATTCACCATTACGTCCTTTTCAAATAGGATAAAGCCTATGGCACCCGGCTGAAGACAATCTAGCACAATCAACCGTATGCCACGGAATTTATGAGTGGTGTCGTAAATGGTCATTCAGCTAAGAGGCAGCAAAAAAAGAACTGTGAAGGCCATCTCTACCATAGTTCCCTGAATTTCAGTGGAATCGAAAGAAAGTAAAAACGATTTTTGATGTTTCCCATTCTGTAGGTACCACGACATTTAAATTTACAATATGGCTTGATTATCCGGGGCACCTCCATCGAAGCTGCACCAGTCCGGGAGAATAAAAAGACCGCAAATGAGCCTTCAATTGCGACTAGAATCGAATCTGGTGCATGTTAGGGAGAACAGAGGCTTCACCCTTNGCACCCGGCTGAAGACAATCTAGCACAATCAACCGTATGCCACGGAATTTATGAGTGGTGTCGTAAATGGTCATTCAGCTAAGAGGCAGCAAAAAAAAAGCTGTGAAGGCCATCTCTACCATAATTCCCTGAATTTCAGTGGAATCGAAAGAAAGTAAAAACGATTTCGATGTTTCACGCTCTAGGTAAGTAGGTACCACGACATTTAAACTTACAATATGCCTTGATTATCCGGGGCACCTCCATCGAAGCTGCACTAGTCCGGGAGAATAAAAAGACCGCAAACGAGCCTTCAATTGCGACTAGAATCGAATCTGGTGCATGTTAGGGAGAACTTCTTAGGCTTCACCCTTTCTACAGAATAAATCAGCCTTGGCAAAACTATGACGAGAAACCCTCCCCTCACAGAGTGACTTGTTATAGAAAATTGATTCGCGCAGCTTTACTGTTTACCAGGAATCTACGTCATAACTGACTAACCTAATGATATCTGAAACAAATTAGAAAACAGTAAGACTCACAATCGATATCGATCCAAATTTATCGCCTACGGCCACTGTATTGTAATCCAATACACAACATGTGGTAACGTAACGTGGGGTAGTATCATCACAGAAAATAACCAACTGATTCTCCTGCAAAATAGATAAATCAGAGATAAAGAGGGCGGTCTGAGATCGTAAACTCGGACAAATTCTAACCCCTTTCCTGTAGCGAACAAAATGAACTGATTCCTGTGAATCCGTCACAATAATACGTTGACCAGTCGATTGTATGCCAGTGATTTGTACAGGGAAATTCTGGAAATTCCAGTAATAGAATACTGAATAAAATCATAAATTTCCACCGATTCATTTAAAAAAAGCAAACAAATAAGGAATTGTTGTCAATACGTATTAATTTTACTTTTCATTTTTCATTGAATATTTTTCTACTATAACGTTGAGATGCGTGCTCTTCCAAACCGCTTCGCTGTTCGCTCAACGTTTTCGTTTTTGCCGATTAGGCCTCCCTTAAACATTGCGCACTACAGTTTACCCAAGAGCTTTGATCTTCCCTATGAGGCCAAAGGTGGGGACCAGGATTTCCTTTGTGAACATTGAACACTACGATAGCTACTGAAGTGCCGCGCAACACTTACAACTATCCCGAAACTCTCCTCTTGTTCTCTATCGAACAACTGCCGGGCAATTACAAGGCACTAGTCGCGCTCATTACACCTCTCCTTCGCCCACACATCCACAAACTCCCCACAAGCTTATAACTTTGTTTTTTTAAAAATTCCAACTAATCAGCGTACAAACTGACGCTATTTTCAAACTGACGTCGAGAAACTAGTCCGATAAGAAGTGGTTATTTTTCATCACTGCGAGCAAGAAGCGTTATCGAATACATGTTGTGTTTCATTTGGTTACCCGTCACATCAAGATTTCCCTAGCCGTTAAAATGTACCGTAGATCCAATCGTATCACTCCGAGTAGGGAACTTTCTATTCACGATTGTTGAGACCAGTTCTGAGAGGCTTTCATAACTAGCTAGCCGCATACACGGCCCTTAAACACTTCCTCAGAGCAACGACCGAATCGAAATTTCTCAACCATGCCGAGGTTCATGGAAGCCCGAACGAGGAGACGAAATTGCTCATGTCCAGAGAGTTGGGACACTGAGTTATCTGCTTTCGAAAAAGATCGATTTGCATGAAACACAACTTCTTATAGGATGATCGGATTTGAGATTTAAGCCTAAGATGATTCCCTTCGTGTAATGGAAACCTGTGTTCAACAGCGGATAGGCTTCGAGAAACTCCTCAAAAGCTCCCCTGATGAGGTCGGTCCATTTCTGCGAAACTTCAGGTATGAGGGCCATGAAAAACAGCTAGATATGGTCCTTCCTTCTACTACTTCTTTGTGAACCAATAACTTCCTTGGAAAACCCAGAAAACAACTCTCCAAGCTTCTGATGTCGTACTCTATCATGTGCTCATCCTTTGTTTGCATAGCTCTTGATCAGAAACCTAAATCCTCAAAACAAATTATTTTCCTAATCAGCAGCGTTCCTATTTCCCAGAAACTCTGAGATCTACTGCATAGAATGATGATGTTTGACAATAAGATCTCCCATCGCCTCAAGTCCTTCATGCAACTCTCCTCTACGGACCACTCTCCTAATCTTAAGTGCCACTCTGTGAGTGCGGCTTGCAACAACAGCCCTCAGTCTCATATTAGTACTAAATGAATAGAGCACAAAGTTGACATAAGCCTTCAAGCTAGCTGTGTTCATTTCTCAGAACACGGTAATGGAACCTTCTAAGCCGTTTTTTCCAGCTTCAATCAACTGCGCGACAGGTGTTTTCCAGCTAAATTGCCTTACTAAGTCGCTGCATCGATAGCTTGCTTAGCCAGCCATGACTGCACCATAGCGCCTGCTCACTTTCGGATGTCTTTCGACTCGGAATTGAGCCTTTTCCTCTTCACTCAGACATCAGAGGCATAGACTTTCTCGTAATTATCATTATCACACTTCATAACTCACCACCTGACACCTTTACAATCGATTGAACAACCATCGTCAATCATTCTAAAGTTTTCGGCATAGCTAACTAAGACAAAAACTTTTTTCACGTTTTTTGAAGGTGGTTGACAGTCCGGCTTGTTCCTCAGAGCTTCGCAACAACTCAAATATTCAGTTTTCCTGCTTTTTATCTATTTTTCTCATCCTCCAGATGTTATTACTGCGGTTTAGTCGTTGTTAACGAGGTCGATTTCCTCGAAAGCAATCGTTTCTTTCAGATAATGCTGCTGCTCAGGTGAGGTTCTTCGTCAAACTGCCACCGTAGAAACGAAGATGATTGCGGATCCTGTCCACAACAATACATGCACATTCTATGAATGGTCACGAAATCCACATCATGCCAAATTCTTTCGAATATTCTCTATCATATCGGTATTGACCGTCCTAGTGGTCGTTGTCGTTCTTGGTAATGCACTTGTCATCGCAGCAGTACTTCTACGAAGGCGTTTACGGTCCGCTACTGGACTGTTGATTCTGTCGCTAGGTGTTGCCGATCTTTTGGTTCGTCTTTTTCTTTCCATTCATTTTGCCCAGTCCTTGTGGCACCCAATGATTCAATGCCTTCCATTTTCAGGTAGGAACTGTGATTCTCCCGTTCAGTATTGCTAACGAGGTACTTAGCGGATATTGGATATTCGGTGAAACGTGGTGTACCATATGGTTGACGATGGATATCTGGATGTGTACAGCTTCCATCTATAATCTCGTCGCTATATCGATTGATAGATATATAGCCATCATCAAACCACTCAACTATCCCATGCTAGTGACCAAATTCCGTGCTCGATGCACCGTTGCGATTGTATGGATTGGCTCGTTCATCATTTGCAGTCCAAGCTTCTTCCTTGCCTCTTCTATCAAGGATATCAATCAAGAACCTTGTAAATGTACACCTGCTAACGCTGGACGAGTTTACATAACCTTCAGTGCTTCAAGCAGCTTCTACGTACCGATGATAATCGTCATATTCGTCTATTTCCGTATTTACATCGCCGCCCGAGCAGCAACGAAAAGTATCTATTCGGGGATGATGCAAGTTACTGCAAATGCCAATAGGAGCACAAAAAGCTATCTAATCAACCATCCGAATGTATTGGCCAAAGAGTCGGTCCCGATGCTTCGAGTCCATCGTGGCTCTTCTGTGTCCGCTGTTCGACCGACCAATATGGGTCCGAAAGATTCGTAAGTCGCAAAAATCATCCCCTCCTTTTCCTTTTCGTGGTCCTGTATCAAAATCAACTTTTCAGATATCAGGGATCGGGGAACTGTGGACCAAAGACAAAGCGGGACAGCAATGTATCCCTTTCTCCAATAAAAGATGAGAATGAAGAAAAAGTTCCACATCCGAAGACGTCAGTAATTAGACCTCCAGAAAACCGTGAACTAAACGGGATAAAAACGACTCGGAACACCTTGAGCACAGAATCTGAGGATTCCATTGGGTGAGTACATAACAATCCTTGCCTACCAATGCCGATTTCTGAGTAATCCTGTTTAAGGTCTCCATCGATGCGGAAGACTGACCAACCGGCTGAGCAGAAGGCCAATGAAACTGCGCCACAACCAACAAAATCGCCACTTATGGCCAAATTGCGGAAGAATCCTCTACGAAAGCTTATGAATCGAGGTCACGCAAAGAAAAGCAGTGGCGCCTATGAGAAACGTCTCTCACTGGAGATTAAAGCAGCCAAGACCGTGGCCATTGTGACCGGCTGTTTCATATTCTGCTGGCTTGGATTTTCACTGCTGTATGGACTGGAGCTACAAACGAACGATGTCGTATGGTCGGTGCTGTTCTGGCTTGGCTATTTGAACTCGGCACTGAATCCCGTCATCTATACCGTCTTCAATCGTGAATTCCGAACCTGTTTCAAATGGTTGCTCACTTGTCGTCATCTGAATCATCCGACAACCAATAAGGTGAGCGGTGACTGATTCCTTTACGAACATTACTTGGTCGGCAACAAATTGGCCACCAGCCAAAAGTGCCACTTGATGATTGGCCACATCAGGAGCACATCATGCGAATAGCAGCTTTCCCAACCCACGCACTTTGATATCGAGCTTAAGCTACGGATTTGCCACTCTTTCACGGTCCCAAAAGGAAAATCTGTAGGCATGACAACGCTACTATTTAGAGTTTTGTCGACAAAAGCCGTATTAGAAGTCTGAGAGCTCTCTTTTGAAACAAACAACTTTTAAGTCAAAAACTCTGAATATTACAGTACAACAACAATAACTCGTACAACTCAAATGTGCGTTCTGGAGTGAGAAACTATCGCGCTGGCTCAAATCCAGCCCATGTCTATGGATGTAATAATAATAATGTTAATCTGTCTAATATCAGTAAGTAAATCTATGTGTGTACACCAATGAGCTGATCTGATCATCGCACCGGTACTGTTGCCAAAATGTTCATCTCACTGCTTATTACATGTATTCCTAACGTTCTTCTATGGTCCTTCATTTATTTGTTCCATTTATTGATTTTATTATACTAATTATGCGTTCGTATGTTATCTGGCGATTCATATGAGCTCCTTTGATTGAATGCGAAAATGAGATTTGCATAATTTTCACACGGGTTTCCTTATGATATCATTGAATCGAAGCTGATTTGGTAGAATCCATTTACGTGTATTATAATTTCTCGAATTTGTTTTATTTGTGCTTTTCAATAAAAAGTAATTCAATCTGAGCTATGGGTACGTTCTGATTGACCAGCTGTTGAAGAGAAAACGGTGAAAACAAGCAAAGAAAGGAAAGTTTACATTGAATGAACAGAAAAATGAGTCGCTTTGGAAATTTGAAATTCGTTTAAGGTGAGGAAAACCATGCACTGAAAAATTTGCAGAAGAGGGGAAACGGAATAATGCCTATCACCCATGGCTGTTACTCATGCTCGTGTTTAAAGCCCCAAAAATTGACTGACAGCTTGACACTTACTACCATGCTTCGGCCACCAACTTAGTTTGTTACACTTTACTTCTTTGCCGAAAACCCGAATTATTGCAATTTGATGCGTTGGCCACCAAACCTTATAGTAGCAAAAGAAACAAAGTAAAAAAACATGAAGAATGTCTCAGCACGAGGAAAGTTACCTTCAAAAAGTGAGTAGTAGTCATAAAAAACGATATCAAAAGTTCAAAACTTTGTGGAAGAGTGAAAATCTGTATGAAATCCAAATACGACCTCTCGGACAGGTTAGGTCTAAGAGAATTAGACTGTATGCCTGCATATCCCTTTCCGTTAGCAACTGGATGTAATCTCAATTCTACTCGTCCCTAACGGGCAGTAGGAACAGTAGGAACGGTTTCGTGTAATCGATCCGCCGCACGCGGCAGTCGCGGACCATTTGTCTCGTTGTAACAGTTTTAGCGTTCTTTATACAGCTCAATCGCTATGCAGTCACAACTTATGGCATGATACTACTGCTACTTCTTTTGTTCCTCAACTTCTTACTTGCTGCTGCATTCCGCTACATTCCTTCGCGCGCGGCGTCCCTCTCGCCGCCACGCGACAATTTCGTTCCTACTGCACCACACCCGTTCCTAACCCATAGACCTCTGTCGCGTGGTCGGCTCGTTTTCAACACTTATTCATAACCACCAACACTAGTCGCGCCATTTGATTTGTTGCTTTCGAATGGTAGGGCTGCACTTAAGGTGAATCCTCATAAATTAATCACGAGCAATCTAAGAAGAAAACACAGCTCTATAAATCACAAGTGCAGCACGAGAGATTGGTGCGTTGCGCTACGACCGACATTCTCAAAATGAATATCTTGCTCCATTGGATCATTGGTGGTTCATATGATTAGAATTCATAGTAAAACTCAATATTGCACTGGGCAATGAAAATCATATTCGATGTTTTCCTCTATTTTTTTTAGGAAACAGAAAGAATGGTACGTGAGGATAATCACTATCATGATAAAAAAGCACCAATTATTTCCGTATCTGCGTCAATGCTTGAAAACTATATCTAGAAAACCTAGACTATATCTAGAAAAAGTATGACCTTGGAAGAGACGCTTACGACTTTTTACCGGAAAAATTCCACAATTACATTCCTAATGGTAGCTAGTGTAGCTAGTAAGCATGCCCGACCTTGATGAAAAGAAAAGGAATTACCCATCCTTACCACGCATCTCTGAACGCTACTCTCTCACTACTCACTGCTATTCTCTTAGAATCTTCGACTATCGAAACAAAACGAAACATGTGGTGCAGTGAAACAATGCCACGAACCTTATTCTCACACTTCGCCAACAATTTCTTCTTTCCGAATTCGTAAAGACGCAAATGATTCGACATGCCAACAAGAGCCGAACCTCGGAAATCATGAATAGCGTTTACTGGCTAAAATTTGTTACGAATGTAGAGGCTGATTCAGCAAGTAACTTCAAAAAACTAACATATGGGGTCTCCGTACGGTGAATGAGCTCAAAGCGGTCACCAGCTGCCGTCAGAAGGAACGTATAGATGCAACCTCTCGTACTTCTAGCGACCTTGAACAGAAAACAAATAATGAGACCAATTCTGGACAATAAGCACAACTTATAAACCTGATCCAGTCTTTGAGCGATTGTACATCCGACTAGAGCCATCAACGTATCTTGGTGCGTTGCAAATTGTACGAGAGCAATGCTGAATTTTCCAATTTATACTTTTCCGAAGACTCTGTTCGGAGTTAGGACAACTGAATAAATTTTTACCATTTCGCTGCTTCATCTTGAGGTAGCTCAAATAAGGACAAAACCTCTCCACTTTTCACATTCAAAAGGCGAACAGCGGATGCCCATTTACCTAGAATATACCTTGAAAGTGGGAGGGAATAAATACAGCATAACAATAGAAAACAACAGTTAGCATTCCTTGATTTGTTTTCGGGAAATGTTCACATTGAACAAGCCTTTAAATTAAGCCTTTAAACTAACAACTCTAACAATCACGCTAACAATTAAATTGCACATGTGTTCGTGAGAGAGCCTCTTCAAAAGACTATTTGTATGATACTTCATGCTAACGCGCAAGTGGGTGCAGCGACAATAGGTTCCCATTAGGAAAGGAGGTAAACGAAATTGTTCAGAAACCGTGAAATTCGAAGGTGACACTTTGACAGATGAATTTGGAAAGATTATCAGTTAAAACGAGTAAACGTGCATATGCATCTAAATTTAGTCTTTGCAAGTTTACACCTCGATCGAATATCAACTTCATATTGAATTTGCTCACGACCATTCGAGTGTGTTTTGCCAATTTTTCAACTGAGGGAATTATACTTGAAATGGCATTTTTATTTTTTTTGCCGTCAAAAACCATTCATACATTTCTGAAATAGTTCATCACTCTTCATGAAAAAATCGGATGCATAACAAATAGTATTGCCTCGCATCATGAAACTTATTCTCCATTCTCTCTCAAAGATCAAAGTAAGCAATTTTTTATAGAAAGCTTTACATCAAATCGTTCATGTATCTTTGCTCAATCGAAAATAGAAGAAAAACTCTACTGATCAAACAACATTTAGACCTTCTTTTACCTGGAGCAGCTTTAGCAGCACCATAGACCGTTTCGTCCGGTCGATTGTTTCGTAAAACGTCAGCGATTTCCTTCGCCAGTTCGACTTCTTCCATATCATTTGCAAGACGAACAATGTCCTGAGAAAGAATTCTCCAGAAGCTAAGCTTTTTTCTAATTCAAGCAGTTCTACATAAGCCGGCACTGATTGATTCTATCTCGGTGTGATCTATTCGCACAGTATTGAGCATAATCCGAATTTCTAGAGGGCTTTCTAATGTGGGAAAAGTAATCTCAATTTTCCTACTAGACAGTAAATCAACTACGTGAGTTTGTGAAAGGCTCTTGAATCAAAAAGGATGTACTGGAAATTCGAAAACTCATTAAATTGAGGAAAAGGCCTTACCAAGATTGCAGTTTAACAAAATTTTCAAAGAAAAAGTGGCAAAGTATTTGAGAACGTGAGAATAGGGTTCTAATTACCTTGCAAATCCTACTCGAGAGCACAGAAAAGCATGAGCAAAGTCAAGAAAAAACAAAACCCTTGCGATTGGGAGACATTAAATGAAGGGAAAGCGGTGGTCAATCAGGTTTTTCAGTGCAATCTTTTCTGTTCAATAATTCAAAATTCAAAAATAGGTAACTTCGATTAGCTTTGAATTTTGTTTTCTGCGCCTTCAATCCTATTTTGGTCAACTTTAATGTCGACATTGTTCTCAGACGGGCTAATCTTACTTCACTTAAACAAAAGGGGAATATCATATTTTCATAACAATTAGTGCTGACTCAGATATGTTATTGTTAGAAGCCATAAAGCTATGAGGCTAAACATCACTGCATCAGATTAGAAATTCAAAAGGTCGAAAGCGCATGAATAGGCATTTGTTTAACTTGTGTGACAACAGAGAGAACACCACCACATCTTTTCTGAATCACTTCACAACGTTTTCAAGAAAAGATGAAGCTAAAACACCCGCTTCACTCTTCGTCTTTTTAAACTACTTGAAGTGAAGGGAAATCATTCACAACAAGTGAAGAGCTCTGCAGACCCTAGATAATAATAAACAAGATGCGAGAAGGACATAAAAGCAAGAAACAGATGGAAACTGATATGCAGCAAGACAAGGTGTGTGTTTGAAGATAGAGGCTTTGGAGGGCTGAAAGAAGTGTACGAAAAGGGTGTGGGGATGGGAGCAAAATAGAGAAGCCAAAATGCGCTATTCATACTTACAATATAAACAAAGCTGACATAACTTCCGGGATACACAAAGAGGAATGGAGAAATGACAAGAATCTCTATGTAAGCCAAATTCAGAGCTCAATCAGGACCAGAACTCTATTAAGAGATGCAAAAAATATATATAAACTCAAAAGAGCTTAGCAGAACTAGGACTCTTTTAAAAAAAAGTTGTAAAATTAACTCACATCAGCCATATCGTTTCGTTTTCGATCCAACGTGATTGTTGTGTAAGCAGCATGATCAGTTTCGATCATCATAAGTGAAGTCGCACTAGGATGAACAATCATTCGCCGTGGAGTAAATTTAAGAGGATATGATATGTGGTTGAAGGAAGCTCCAAGTTTTTCCACGGCCATAATCCTGAAAACGGATCATAGCGATGTCTAATTACTAAGATCCTTTAAATAGATTACCTCAATGTATTCTCGGCAATAGCTACAATACCTTCCAAGCATTGCTCGGAACTAAAGCTCGAGGCAGATTCTAATGTCACATAGCTCAATGGAGTTAGATGGAAACGATTCTGGTAGTGGTACAGCAACCAAGAACGAGAAGACGTGCAGAGAACCTAAAACTGCTTTCCAAAAAGTTCCATCAAAAATTCTATTTCCATATGGTTAGCCAAAAAGTAGAAAATACTGAAGATTCATAATTGGAGAGAGATAATGCGACTTACGGCGTCCCTGTTTTGACTGCGCACTCTAAACACTCGAACAGGCCTCGTTCCGAGGTATCTTGTACGGGTATCCATCATATCTCCAGTGACGTTATCAACGGTAGTACGTAACAAACAGCCGTTCTTAATAGGCAACAGATTAAGGTACTCACTTACTTCCACGGTGACTATCATCATGCAAAGTAGTTCAAAATGAATAAGAGCGAAGAAAATCGGCCCTAGAGGCATGGAGGTTACAAACCTGAAGACCAATGTTAAGATGGATCGTAGAAGATCCTTTACTATCTTCACTCGTTGTCTCCAACAGAAGAAGTGATTCAGGTTGAGACGGAAGGGCTTGCATACTAAACAAGCAAACATCATGACTCCAAAGCAACTACTTCAAGTTTGCTGTTCACTCTCGACCGATGAGTCAACTTTATGAGAAAAAGTTCTTATCTCAAGTCACTTAAGAACCTCATGTGTACTCTCACAAGTTTTTATGAACACTTTCATCCAACTCAATTTCTGATGCAAAAGAGAGCAGCATGGATCTCGCGACTAAACGTCGTAAGATCTGACCGTAAGCGAAGAGTAGGATTGCGGGCTGTATATAAAGATAAGTTACAGCCATGTGAATCAAACGTCGAACCACTCGCTACTCCTTGGGAGGTGCTATAGCAATCGTCTGAATGGAAAACCCACTTCTATACCTTCAAAAATGGCTTGGGCAGGAAAGTAGAAAATTCACAATCATTACTTCGAAAACTTACCTTTCGTTAAAGCTAGGAAATCTTTATGTTTCAATTATAGCATGATGAAGGCCTAAAAGATGTGCTACCGAAGCAGTAGAATGAAAGATGAAATCAGTGCTACTCTCCAAGAACTGCTTTTATCACGTTCGAGATGGCAAAAGAAATCTGCTGAGACTGGAAGAACGTCTCAGAGCAAGGAAAAGAGAATTCAGCAAAATTTACGTAGCTCAAAGATGAAAAAGGCAGAGGTCGAAAATGAATAGTGATGAACATGATCTTGTGAGTTCTACTCATTTTGGTAGAAGTTCGAGCTAGGAGAACAAGAGGTTTGAAGTGATGAATGGGTTACGAAAACTGAGCGAATACAAGCATTGATATTGGAACTTTGAAAATTCAAACCTCAGGGGATGAGAATGTTTGATTCAGGGTCAAATGCAGGATAGAACATGAATGTCACACTTTTTCTGATAACGTTACATTCACCACCTGCAGTTACCTAATGAGTTATAAAACTGGACTGCTTCATCTTTCCTCATTTTAGGTCGATAGAGAGAGTAGACTCTCTCAAGGTTTTTTTACTGCCCCTCGTTCATATTTATCATAGTTCCGCATTCAAAGAAAATTGGTTTTCTTAAGAGAAGACGAACCATTTTAAAATTTAGGCATTTTTGAGTTTCAACTTGAATTTGACGGAAGGAACTCAAATAGGCCATGATATCACTAAACAAAAATTCAAATATGCTCAAAACTAGCCAGCTAAGATTAAGCAACTAGTTTCACGACCCCTGATATGTTCTAAAATGGCGAAAAAAGACATAGGTTACTGAGGAAAAACTGCTCGGTTTCACGATGAAAAGGCTTAGAATTCGTGCAGTTTCTATGACTCGGTCCTACAGATTCATCAGACGAGTACGTAACCACAGTTTCACATTGCTTGGTGAGCCGAAAAGGTCTGAACAATTGGAAAATATGCATGAGTTGAAGTTTTCGGACGAGCCACTGCAACGTAAAAGGAACCCTTCTACTAGTTTGCAGACATAGGTAAAGAAGTGGCAAATCTAGAATGAACCTAAATGACTGACGCCAAAATTTATGCACATCCGTATTTTGAACAAATCATATACCATGCTGGATACTTGGTCAACTAAGCAAAAAAGTTGCATGAAAAATGGACCAACCTCAGCGGACTCAATGTATCCTGCGGATCCAAGGAAATCACTCGAACAGTACTATCAGCAATGCCGACAGTAAGGAAACGAGAGCGCAGTTCACCTTCTGGTATCTCACTCAAACTCATGCAAAGCACTTCATGAGGCCAAGATGTTCGCTCGGTAAATTCATTCAGCTGCCCAGTCTGCAAACAGCGGGATGATCAACTGTATTACTGCGCCGGGCATGAGAGATTCCAGAAAACTGACCGGGTCGAGTTCGAAATACACAAGTTCACCACCAGCCAAAGCCACAGCCACCTGCCGCCTAAACATCGAATATAGGAGGAAAGAATAATTGCCAAAGGGATCCACGGAGAAAGGCCACCGTCAACAAGAAAAAAGTACAGATACGAACACCTGATTCTAAACCGAAAGCAGTTTGAAAGCAACCATAATCAAAAAAAAANNNAAAAAAAAATCAAAAAGTACAAAAAATGACTTCAGCTAGTTCACAAGTAAGTAGGCACCGACCTGTTCATCGCACATTTTACAATCTGTCGTTTCCCAGGCGTCTTCCACTCGTTTACACGACGATCAGAACGAATGTGACGAATACCCTCTGGATATATCTGCACAGACAAGAGTAGGTATTCAGCCAAAATAAAAAAAAAGTTGCGTCTGGCAACGCAGCCTTTAACAATCAGCTCAACAACTGACCTGAAGCAGAGAATCATCACCGATGATACCACATCCAAGAGTGGGGGTTGTGGCCATGAAACCAGAATCATTGGCTTCTTCTACAGTCTCACCAATAGCCAGCACCAGTGTGGCGTTCACGAATGATACCACGATGTATGCGTCATGTTTATCTGTAAAGGAATTGATCAAGGATCAATTGCGTTCACTGAAATAAGAAAGTCTTAATCTTACCATCAACATTCTTCTTGACAGTCCATACTGCATTGGGATTACCAGGAAGTTCAGAGACGGCCATTTCAGCCACCTGAACTCTTATAATTAAGCTCGAGGAGAATATGAACCCAAAAACTGCTCAGGAATACCTCTAAACCATTCCTCAAAACGCGAAGTGTTGAACGAGCACCTCTACCAACCAACGCGTATATTTGTGGTGCATCCTCATGCGCCAAATCACCAATCTAAATGCTCGTTTTGAATTAAAATGTAAAGGTGTAAGAAAATTAGGACTTACATATGCATCAGTGAACGGACACAAACTGTCTATGCGATCTATTGGAACAAGACTTTTCAGCTCTCGAATACCGTAGAAAAACGTTTCGCCTTCATCTAGGTGCATTTTCGATGAAAATTCTGGTTCTTCTGGATCATCACCGAGATTCGCAATTTGATATAGATGGCTATAACAAAAGAGATTGACATGTACTGTCTTAAAACTCTCAGCGCTCGATAAAAATATAATCACAAAATTATAGAGAACGTATTTCGCACAAAGATAAGAGGACACAATTAATGTATTGAAAAATATGAAGATGCCGGTCTTTGAGTAAACCGCCTAATGAAGCTATTTGTATTAGCCATGATAAACTTACTGATCTCCGAATTCACTGGCAACGAACAGGAATCCAGTTTTCAAAATGCACATGGCATTCGCTGCAGGCACTGTATCGAAATACTTCACCTTCATTTCTGTCACCAGATCCTCATCTGTTTCAAGTGTTACCTAAATGACAGCATTTGAGAAAACGTAAAACAAAAAGCACCCTTCTGGGAAATTAATTGGGCGCCTCTATCGGAGCTCAGCAGTGAGGGTGGCGAAACTTTGCAAAGAAAGAAAATCAATCTTTTTGCAAATTACGGCATTCAATTTATACCTTGAAAAGATCTCCTTGTTCAGTCTGTAGAAGGAAGAAGTACAACAGCTTTGTCTTGTGAGTTGCAGCGCAAATGATCATAAGCGACCGGTCCGGGTCATCAAGATCATTCTAGATCCAAACCTTTAGATACCGTCAAGGTGAACATTAAAAAGACTCACCCTTCTGCGTGGTATTGGACATCTTATGTCCGGTTGTTCACCCAAGTTTTTGTAAATGAGATAGTTCTCGCAGCACAAAATAACGCCGGATGGCCCTTCATTACCTCCAGGCACTAGAAAGTACAGTTTAAGCAAAAGTAAGGAGCTTACTTTTTATGTATACATAAACGCACAAACCTGCAATAATCATAGTTGCTTTGTCATCAAGAGGTTCTGCATATTTCCTCACGACATGATTTAAACCGAGATCGAGCTCATAGAAGGTCAGTGTTTGCTTGGTGGATTGAAGAGCTTCACCAGTGGGATCATGCTCAGCATCCTTGATAGTAACTCTTTATATTACATTACCAAGGAATGAGAAGATAAAAACTGACCTCGTAATCGAATTCAAGACAAGCAAACGTCGGATTTTCGAATCCTACATCAATCCCCACCATTCCGTAGCACAACGTGTACTGCTTGTGCGCTTCAAGAGGCGATGAGATTGTTAGACGAGCCTCAGCGTCACGATTCATTATATAAACCAATTTCTGACGCTCAATAGCTCCTAGAATGAATTCGTCATTACAAGAGAAAAAAAAACAGCCTAAAGTTCTCTCGAAACAGACCGATCATAATAGCTCTTCCCTTTGGATCTGCGGCAAGGTAATGCCCAGGAACAATTCGGCGGCATCCTGTTTTACCGAAGGTTTCCTTGAAAAATGCATGAAGTAGAGACAATGAAGAAACGACCAGAAAAATGTTCCTTGTTCTACCTGATGCACACGAAGAAAAGAATTCTTTTCAGAAGAGTATTCAAGCACAACAATACGACCAGAGTCAGAGCCGACTGCGATGTAATCTGTAATGTGTAGTCAACAAAATCTACGTCTAATCTATGATCTGTTGATATAAAAAAGACAATTAAAATAGTCTAACAAAATAAGAACTTTGACAGTAAGTAGAGGACTCCAAGTGCAGAGAGCCTAATTGTCTCTACTTGCGAAAAAAAAATATACCTTTTGTACCACCAGTCAATCGGAATGGCATAAGCGAGCGGATGATGCCAAATACTTCATGACTGCACAATACCTGAAGTAACAGTGAAATAAAAAGGGAACTTAAAGGATCTCCAGACTAAAAGCTTACTTTTATCTTTCCTGTGGTTGGATCACAGAAAAGCAGCTGCAAAGTCGAGCCTCTTCCAACACAAATCTCCTAAAACATAACGGATGGAACAAAAACTGTATTGGAACCTTCACGTTTCGAAAAACTGTTCATTTTCGTAAATATTGTATAGTTTATTCTTTATATAAACAAAAAAATCTGGACGATTATTACAATCACTTTTCAGTTTTAGATTTTCTCTGAACAAAATGGACTAATCGACGGCAATCACTTCTTACCCGTTAGTAGCTATATGTTCCTCTTAAAATTTTCTAGGAATCCTTAGCAAGGAAGCCAAAGCAAGGACAATTATAGCGAGCTTTTGTTCTTTCTCTTCCCAACAAGAACGAAGGTGATTACGTCAGTGAGCACTATTCCTTGTCTGCCTACTTTGGAAACCAAGAGTCAAGGAAACGCAAAGTCCGAGAACTAAATGCTGAATTCAATCCAAATGCCCTCTTCCAATCAATCTTCTCAACCCTCAGGCCTCTCCTATCTAGTGCTGAGCTCGTCTAGGAGTATGACGCCAACATACTACCTCACCAACTCACTCTTCTCACCACCTCTGCTCGAAGCGAAACAAGCTTACAATGCTTTTTCAATTACGGGCATTCTTACGTGCTCATTTCTTTTGTTCCATGTCAAAAATGGGCATTCTAAAGAACTATATATGCTGCAGCGAGCCTAAACATAAAATTACCTGTGCTTTCGGTGTTCCGGAAAAATTCCCATGGACAGCTTGATTTATAGCAGTTTGACCTTGCAAAGTGAGATTATAAAGATGCATGTCTGTTTGAAGTTGATCGTACAGTTGAGTTCCTTTCAAGCAAGACGGTGGTTCATCTACCGATACAATAACCTGTACTACAACAGCTGCCGACCTTGTACGAGAAGACCAAGCAAGGCTGCTTCTGCAATTAAAGGTCATTGTCAACAACACAATGTTTTTCGGAAGTAACCAACAGCCTCTTCATAGAAATATGCAGATTACAAAGCTAGACATACTTGAAGGTAGACTAAAGGTATGAAGGAAATGTTAGATCTGAGGTATTACGAGGTTATAAGCTTCAAGAAAGCAGCACGCATCAACTAATAACCCCAATAGAAGAACATGGCTTTATGGAGATCTATGTACCAAAGAATGAAAAAGGGATTATGAGGAAACGAGCAGTTCCCAAGCCAACGCTGCTGGTCAAAAAATTCAAAACGCCGTAAGGTTATGCACGCCACAGATTCTACATGCAATCTTACGGGCAAAAGATGAAGGTCGAACAGTAATGGGGGTGGTTGTTATGGTTAGTTAATCAAGCCCTATTTTCACTCCAGTAGGTATGTATATCAAGAAAACCCGAACCTACATATCCCTTTCTACGGCCTGATTTCAAGCTTACTTTTGATGTTGTCTCCCAAACAAGGTCTCCCACTCTCTGACAGGCTCCCTTAGGGAGTAGCGCTTGGTATAAATCAAGCTTTATGATGCATCATTTCCCTTTCCTCGAGTCCTTTCTAGAGTTATGCGCCCTCCCTCCGACTTTCTCACACGGCCGTTCAGCCACCACAGCCACTTAATTCGCTCGCCAAGCGACTGTGATGGCGCATTCCGAACCCTCCCCATCCCGACTGCTGTCAACTCCGAGTTCAGGGACTCAGCATTCTCGATGTCTTGGTCTCCATAAACGGAATCAGTTTATGTGTGCCCTTTGGCCTTGCCGGCAGTCAGCTTGTCCCATTTGTGTGTTTACAGGAGGAAAGTTTTGCTTGCCCCTTGACCAGATATGCTGCTTTTTCAAGTTTTCACTTGAGGCCCTTATAGGCTTTCATACTATTAATCACGCGGTCGATATCCTTCCTCCAATTGTCCCTGAACCGCCGAATTCTCAAACTAGCCTTTTAGGAACTTGCGAATGGACTGTGATCAATCAAAGAAACTGGATTTTCAATGAAACATTACACTTCACGTAACTAAAGTTCAACTCGAGTAGTTTCTTGTCACTGGTCTGCTCGTTATTTCAGCAAACTTCAATCAAAGAACTCGACCAAATCCGAAATTGACTGTGAATTCTTCGCAATGACGACTTCGAATGGTTATAAAAACCTCCATTAAAAACAAAACTTTAAAATTAACACATCCATATGCTTCTTATCAAACGGAAATTTGAGAGTAAATCGTTTTGGACGACGCAAGCAGACATATTTGCAGTTGCATGATTAAGACAGTACTGAACAACAGCATTAGATAATCACGGATCAAATTAATAAGATTTATTTTTGATTCTATTTACTACTAACACACGACGGTGACGGATGGTGATGAAAAAATCCTAACATATCGCAAAATGCTTAGAAACAACAATTAACAGTCCGCCAAGCTTTACTAGGTCGACGTACAGATAGAATATGCACAAAAAGGGCATATTGTATCGACCATCGAAACAAACCGCTTATACTCCGAGCACTAGAACTCTATAACGACGGCCATGATCAAGGAAGGCTAGACTGTGATCATTGGCTCTTTGGTGGCTCTCGTCCTTTCACAGACTTCCACAAGAATTTCTGTGACTTCGTAAACGTCCATACGTATCGTTTACCGTAGATCAAGATCACAGTGATGAACGGAAGCAGTGCCGCAAGCTAAATTTACAAAAAATGTAAAGCATTCTTCAAGTCTATTTGGAATTTTGCAAAATTCTAAGACGTGTCTGCTCAACATTTCTCAAAAACGGTTTTTTATACTAATCAAAATTTCAAATCTTATAAAGACAGTGAAATGGGTGGATGTTGAGAAAGGTGAGCCAAAGTTTTCTTTGTTCCATTTTTGTTTTTATTTTTCCTTCTTAAGCTGTTCTTCTATATGATTTTGGATTTGTGCAATCATTCACTTCAACCTGATCATGCATCACTGCACTGTGGATTTGCTTTCAAAACAGAANTGGGGCCGACCACCATTTAAGAGGGTGGAGCTAACGGCATGCACTTATCTCATCTGAAGAATTAACATTCACCTAATTAAACAACCTTAAATTATGATAACCACTAGATAAAAAATTAATTATAAGTATGTGGTTGTACTTATGACCTGAAGGGTGAGACATTTCACCTCAAAACAAAAAAATCCCCTTTTTCTGGTCCTGGTAGATCTGCTTAGGTGACTTAGACAGCCATGAAAGCCTAGACCAACTAATATCTCAGTTCAGTGGTGTAAGTTCCGGAAAAACAAAAATAATCCATTCAATCGCCCCGGTGAATGCATGCTCCCGTAATTCTATTGAATACATGCTCCCTTACTTTATTCCCATTTGTTGAGAAAACATCACAACCGAAAATTCGCACAGAATGCCCAGAATCCACGCAAAATGGTGAACAACCCGATCAGTAAATGCACACCAAGCATTATCTCTGAAATTTACTTCGTCAATCAAGTGAAAAGCCACCGCTGAAGAGGATATTGTCCTACACTGTCATATACTAGTCCATGAATTGAATTACATCGCTTCTTTTTCCTGGTAATTGCTTCATCAATTGCTTTATGCAATACATAGAGCGCCAAATTTAGACCGGAAGGTTCGAAAGTTTATGATAGTTTGAAAACATGTCATGTTTGCACAAATTTTTTCCTAATCGACGGCGCTACGGCAACTCTTCGATACTGTACATTTTACTTGCACTATCTGAAAGGTGTACTTCTCAACACTCGGCGCTTTCTGACTCATGTGATTCTCTTTTCTTTGCAACTCTAGCTGGTCCCTTTTAGAAACTTTCGATTACTTTCACACTCTGACTGGTGAAACTGGGCACGTAGTTTTGCGGAAAAAAGTCACCAATAATGCAGACGTAAACGGATCTCTCTCGAAACTATAAAATCTTCGCGTAAAACTAAGCATAGCTATCGTATATTAACTCTTCAGCACTAATGACTGCTATTGGGTAGATCCCAACACAGGATTAGAGAGCAATGAGCTGTGATTAGTCCAGGAACTCATCGGATAATCTTGAAAAACGTCGCTAACAAGGACGGACTTGAGAGGAGGTCTGCGAACATTTGAAAATGGCCGCCCACGCCCACCCCATTCAAACGAAAAATGTATAACCTATGCGATACATTTAATCTATAATCCAGAAACTTTTGACAAAACCTAAACTAAGTTTCTATTGTTGCGGAAATTAGTGAAATTAGCCTAGAAAATGCATGATATTGATCACGCTGAACTCGCCCAAGTAAAACATATGGCTAAATCAACCTTTGCAGGGAATCAGTCTACTTACACTTCGGCTCTATATAATGAACCATTCACGCTCATTTAGTCAAGTATTTTAGATGAAAAGATACATGTCCATTTTCACGAATCATCTAGCAGCGATGACATCGATCATCTACGAATGACTCATTTGTCTACAGAAACCGGGAGGTCGCTAGAAAAACCAATAGGTCAACCAATAGAAAAAAGAACACACACAATTGTAATCCCGTATTTCTTGCCAATCAACTCAATCAATTCCAAAATTCTATTTTGGATGAAACTACCTCTCCGCTTCTTTCGGACTACGTAATATGGACCTCGGCTTTCCAGAGCAACATCGGTCTTGACACGATCAAAAACGCAACATCTTTGAAATCTCTTTTTCTTTCAATTTTGAACCGTTTCCTCTAGGGGGAGTTTGTAGAACAAGTAATACGGCAGGCAAAGAGGCAAGCGTTAGATGGCAACCGGCTCAACTGACACCTTCAGAAGAGCAAACATGGAACTTATACCACTCCAGTGGAATGAAACCAAATAATGTTCGTCCCTTGAGAGTCTTCAAAATCGATATATGACTTGAAATAGAGGGGAATTTCAGACAAACTTGTGTAAAAAAAGCTTACAGAAATAACAATTTACAGCGTACGGAAAAGTATGAATGAACTTCAATGAGAACAAAAGTGCTTGCAAAATTACTTTCAGATTAGAATGCAACGGCTGTAAAAAGAAAGTAGGAAAAGCGGTTTTACCTTCAATCCCCATCTCTTTCTCGTATCGTGGAACGGCTCCGCGGTCCAATGCATGAATGTCGCTACGTCTTTGGCTTGTTGCGATTGGGTTGCCGGCGTACCATCCTTGAAAGAGAAAGATAAACTTCATCAATCTTTAATGCACAATAAATATTACTTAAATCACTGTTTGAAAGAGCAGAGTAAACAGAAAGGAGAGGAAAAGAGAAGGGGATGGGATCGGAGATAAAGTTGCGAGGAGGCACGATACATTATTGGCATCTTTCATAGTCCACGACCGGTCGCTAGCGACTGGCGACCGGTCGCGCGACCGATCACGCGGGACCGTCCGCGGCGGCACCCATAACTAGCGCGGCCTCCTCGACCGATCGAGCGACCAGTGGCGCGATCAGTCGAGCGACCAGTCGCTAGCGACCGGCGACCAGTCGCGCGATCGGTCGCCGGTCGCTCGTGAGATGGGTCCGCGACCAGTCGCTAGCGACCGGTCGCGCGACCGGTCGTGGACTATGAAAGATGCCATTAAATGTTTCGTGGAGCCTAGAGCAGAACGGAACTGAACTAAGAGATACCATTACCCCTAAATCAACAGCACGAAATCAAATCGTGGATTAGAATAGTAGGCATAAACTAGCAGGACTTAAACTAGCCCTCACCCACAAGACTCTTTTTGAAAAGCGGGACAACCTTCATGAAAATTACAATTGCGAACACTGAGTGTTACAATACTTGCTTTTCAGTAAGAAGATCAAACTCTCTTACCTTGTATTCAATTCCCTCATCGTAAAGCTGTTGAGGCATAGAAATTACTCCACCTGGGAAGTAAGGATTGTACGCCTTTCCTTCATCGACCTGGAACAATAAATTGAAGCTACGAACAGTTCCCAATAAGAATGGATAAGTAGACGATATTTGAATAACTGAGTACGAAAAGTTCTACCTTAACACCTGCGGGCGCATCGAAGTATCCTGTTAATAGCGCAAAGATGTAATCATCCCCTCCGTGTCTAGCAAGAGACATTAATGAGAGATCCGGTGGAGCAGCACCTACAATAAAGACATTTCAATATTAGGAAAATAAAGTATGAAAAGCAAAAGTTTAACCGTAATTTCCTGTGGTGTGCCACCTTCCGCTCGGATTTCAACCTAGTTAACAATTTCCATTGAATTTCAAACTTAAAACTGACCATTATTAGCCGCAGCCGCTGCTTTCACATTCGGATACGGGCTAGGCAGTGCATCTGTAAGAATACCAGGCCGCTGAATTGGACGTCCTTTGTCATCAATATCATTGATGAGTGCTTCGGCAGCTTCCGCCTTTGCTTCCTCCTAAAATCTTAGGAATAAGCGTTCCAGAAATTCCCAAGATAATTGAGGTTCTTTATTTTCGGGGTCCATGGAAATAGAAAAATCAGAAAAATTTAAATTAGCAATCAACATATTGCAATGAGAGAACGCTGGAGGCGGTCTCGCAATCGAAATCTAGCAATCTCAGTGACCGCAAATTACGTCACAAGGAGCTCAACCATGTATGAGACCAACGGGAAACAACCGTTGTGAAAAACATCAAAATTATAAGCCTTACAATTGACCAACCTCAGTCATGATAGTATTGACAAAGTGTCTATAGTGAATGTACTTCATAGAATGGCATGCTGCGCAGACTTGCTTGTAAACCTCGTATCCTCGCCGAACCCTTAAGAATGGAAAATGCAGAACCAGCTTACAAAGTATTTATATAAGTTTTTATGTGAATTTGCTAAATAACATTCCACGATTGCATATATCGATTCCAGATTCAAACCTGTATCCATACTTGAAGGATAGTGCGCCACTTGCCACTACACCACCTTCGCTCCACGCACAAGTAATGCAGGAAATTTTTACGGTATCAGTTTATCCAATACGCACGCAACTTCAAAAACTTATCCCAGAGCTTGGTTTTAATTATCACATATCGCAACTAATACCATCTGCTCAATATATCCCCTTCTAGGCATGAGAATTCCTTCAATCCTTGCTATGCGCCCGTAGTGTGAACCGTGTAGCCCTCCCACAGGCTTCTGTAAAGGTTGACTCCAGCCCTTGTCCAATCGATCCTCTCCTCACCGCACGATATACTGCGGAACTATTCAAGCTTGAGAGGTGGGCGCTGCTCATTGAAGAACGCCTAACTTTGCTCAAAGATGACGTTTCAACACTAGGTGAACCGGAAAGTAAACAAAGAGCCGTGAAGCTTAGCACAAGTATTCGGGAGAAACAGTGGAAGGGTAGTGACATACCCTATTAGAAATTAACGATCGTCAAACGATACGATCCAAAATTTTCTGCGATATCAAAACCCATTTTGTCTATTCACTACAAATGTGTAATGCTACACAAGTGCCCCCAAAAAAAAAAAAAAACTAGCACTTGCAGAGCACATGACTAGAAAGATCTTTTCTCTAAGGCAGGAGTACACAGCTTGAAACATATGCAATTCGTTATAAAACTCACGAGGCTATATCAAATGATTCGATGGCCCCTCGATGCGACCATGGTAATTTATATGGATGCACTGCTTCTTCGCTAGCGTAAACCGAATTCTCCAATGCATAGATTAAACCCCCTCCAGCAACAGCGACACCCGTGGCGACCACGCCGAATCGCTAAAGAGATCTGATCAGATTATAAGAAAACACTGATTAAGAGCTGTATTAATGAAACTTTCAAAAAAAATGTACCATAATGCAAAAAGGGTAACATTTTGAAATGTTCCGGGTATGGATTCTAAATGCGTCGATCTGTTCATGTAATTATATCTGATTTTTTAAATAAAGACTATAATGAAGAATTCACTAGATTCTTTCAGTCAGCTATATGATGTAAGTTAATCCTTTGGAATAGCCGTCGCAAAAGGAAACTATTGAACCACAACTGGTGAAAACTAAGTGATCAACTATGTATCCATTCGTATCCAACGTTCTGCTAATTTTCTTGGGTTCTCTGATAGATCTATTGTATTAGACTAATTGTAAGTGACACTAAATGTGCAGATAGAGCACACTTTCGGTATAAAATAAATTAGGATAAACTCAAAACAGAATACTTGGGAGTGGTTTAAGTTCCTTTACCGAGCATTCCACGAACCCAGTTAAATGGGGAATTTCCTGACAGACTTCACCACAAGTAGCAAAATTGCCCAATCGAGACTTCATTTCCTGTCTCGAATTTTTCTTGGGAGTAAGTAACTAGATGCTCTCAATAACAAACTATTAGCTTTGATTCAGTTGAAACACTATGTAGATGGAACTGACCGAAACTCCTTGAGCCACGGCTCGCTGCATTACCTGCAACTGAAGGAATGAAATTTTCCGGTGATTAAAAAAAAAAGAAAATCACACATCAGACTGCGACTAACAGTACTTAGGAGAGAGAGATTGTACACAAAAGCTAAAGCAAGAATAATCCTCCCGACCAAAGGTATAGCGAAATAACCCATGAGGAAAATAGCCGGGTAATCGTGTCCCGTTTGAAAACACGCCAAATTTCCTCATCAATTCAACGCCAACCAGGCACTAGTCTTAGGTGCTTACCGAATTAACATTAAATAAAGTGAAACCAAGAATTAAGAAAAGTTTTTCATTCACTAAGTAGGGGTTGGAGCACGTAATACACGTCAGCGAAGTATTGACGCACAGGCGGTAAAGTACTGGCGCACATTTGAGCTGGAAATCCCCTAATGCTTTGTTGGAGGTTACTTTTACTTCGAGGACGTTAAATCTGGCTATCATGAGCTACGTTTATAGTAGGAGAGTCACGATTCGTGACTGAGTTAATTGTTATTGTAATGGATGCTGCTTGGTGAAGAAATTCAACATGTTTCTGACTACACATTAGTGTTTCAGCGACTCAATTAATGAGTGATGAATTCAGTCACGAACTTCGGAATTGATATCACAAAGTTTTTTGAGGTGTTCAATCCTCTGGGTTCGCTTAAAATGGGGCTGTGACGGTTGTACTGCTAGTCTTCTCATTTTTTAAAATTGAATCTGTCAATAAGATGGGATCCTACGATAGCTGATCAGGACTCGCGTTTTTCCAATGTCTTTAACTGGCACCAGTACTGTAAGAGGTAGTATTAGCCCTAGACTCATTGAAGCTTCCGTGAGCGATGAAGCAGGAGAAGGGCTCACATAAGAACACAACTATTTGGATGGAGTGCTTTCTCATCTATTCCATGACTACGACGATTTTGAATGGAGTGCGTTCTTACCAAGGCAAATTAAATTGGGGTGTTTCAATTGTTCCATTTTCAGTTTGAAAATGTTGGAAATTTCTCTTCGGTCGAAGGGGCATGGCTTTTAGGGGGCGGAGTTGCACTTTGGGGAGGCGTTCGTAGCTCACATTTCGCAATCATGTACCTTTAGCCGAGACGCACGGGCCATGCGTCGCAATGACCGATGTCACGAGTTTGTAACGCAGAGAAGGGGGAGGTGGTGAATTCTTCTTTGTTTTACTGTCTGAGAGAAAGCAGAAAGACAGGGAGTACGAAGTCACAGGAGGTCTTGCGACAGAGGGTCTTGCGATCGCAGTACTCAGTTGTTACTAGGAACCCGGAATGCTTTAAGCTCTCTCTAGGTCGTCTTGGATGGGTAGTAATAAAATGAACGAGTTTTCCCTATGGAATGGCTCGGATCACGCTCAAAGGCAACCTCGACGTTAAAAATTACGCCTGAAGCTCCTCTATTTGCTTCTTTCCACCGCTCATTCCACTTATTTTGCATCTAGTACAACTTTATAGCAACATTTCCTGCCGTTGCACCAGAGTAATCCAAAATTAGTCGATTTCAGACTGTTTTCAGACATTTCGTCATGCCCCCCGCTCACATAGGTAAACACCGACTTTAAAAATTGC